GCTCTTAAAATCTGGGTTAAAAAAACAACAACAACAACAAAAAACTGTCTTCATTCTTTGTCAGTTCCAAAGCTCTGAACTGCACTGGGGAGACCCCTAGTAAGACATCCTCAAGCCTCCCTCGAAGCTGGGTATAGGGCATGGGACTGAATTCTAGCCTGCAGGCTATGAGCAGAAGTGACGTGTGCTACCTCTAGATTGTAAAAGGATGGGGCACTTGCTTTCCCGAATGTTTGTCCTCCTCCCGCTGGCTGGGAAAGGTCATGAACTGGAGCAGCCACTCTGCACCCTGAGGTAGGAGCCACACAATGCGAAGAGCAAAATCCATACCCTGGTCAGCCCTGGACGGCCTACTCTGCACTGCTGGTGGGAAATTAACTCCTACCTTATTCCAGGCCTGACTGTATTTCAGGGCTGTTTGCTACAGCAGCTTATCCTAACAGCAGCTTAGCCTATATCCTAACTGAAACATTTTAAATATATGCCCTTTATAACTTTACTGTTGATAACTTTAGTTATGCCTTAGAAGCACACATGAAAATTATGTGAAGTGTAACACATACCTCAGGAGAAGCATGAGAGGCAAAAAAATCTTCCTCCTTTGGTGGAGGGGACAAAGGCGGAACCACACAGCTATCAAGCCACAGCTGGAACAAAAACACATGCACTGCTCAGCATTTCACCTGCTTTAAAGTGTTTATTTAATGCTCTTCACTCCCTTTCTGGAGGCCTGTCTGCTAAAGATTTGTACTTTCCATTATTATAAAGTCAGGGCCCCTGAGCACATTTTAGTAACACATCAACCCAGTAACTTCTGCCACCAAACCCTGTGGAAGACAATTGCCAGCTCCCCAAGCCATTTCCGAAAAGGAAAGAGCCAGGGCTTCACGTCTAAGTGCAGGTTCCAAAGTACAGTCAACCCCCATCATTTGTGGTCTGCGAATTTGTCTACATGCTACAATTGACTTGTGACCCCAAATCTGCCGTCTTGCATGGACACACGCAGAGCAGCAGAGAATCTGTCACCCCAGGTGCACGTTCCCAGCTGAGGTGGAACAAGGCGACGCTCTGCTTCCTTGTTTTGGCTCCTGCTGTAAACACGGGTCCCTTTTACGGGCTGTTTACTGACACACTTTCCACATTTTTGTGCTTTTTGTTGGTGGGTCCATTGTTTACAATGGTGCTGAAGTGCCACTTCACGTTCCCAAGCACAGGGATGCAGTTAGCTGAGTGTCATTCAGCTTGAGCCACAATGCCCTTGGCCACCAGCTCAGTGTCAGTGAGTCAACAATGTACACTAAAGAAGGTGTCTTTAAACAGAAACACAGGTAAAATAAGGTTAGTGTTGATCAGCTGACAAAGGTGATGCTGCAGGACTCTCGTGCAGTGTTCAAAGCAAACTTATCAAGCAGGACCATGAATAATAAGAATCCACTATACGCTGTTTCCTTGTAAGAGAATCCGGCTAGCAAGTTTTACTGTTTGGGGTAAAAACTACTTTTTCTACTGAAACAAATGTTCCTCTGAAGGAGACCCCCCCACACAACCCGCTGTGCTTACGTCAGTGCCATGCTTCCGGGTTGCCTGGGAGGCCACCACCTTGATTCTCTCCCTATAAAGCTGGGCAGTGCGACTGTTGTACTTGGCATTGGTGTCGTTGGTGTCACACCCGTGTTGATGGAAAAAGGAAGACTGCAAAGGAAAGTACGTGGGTTAACAGCATCGCTGCATTAAATCTAACATGGTGATCAAAAACGTTACTGCATGCAATGAAGGATTTTTTTGGAAATACTAGTGAAAACCAAAATAATTTAAAGCATGAAAATTTTTTATAAAATTTTTCCTTGTAAAAGGGATAATACCTTCCACAGATGTAACATTAACATTCTGGTAAAAGTGGACATGAGATGTGCCTCACATCTGGCCCTTCCTTGCTCCACTAAGCCACCTCCATCATCCTGAATGTTATTTGCGGGGACACTTTCCATTCAGGACTACTTTTAATTTGAGGAATCCACTTTAGTTTAGATTTCGCTAAACTGGAATTTTTTTTTCTTTTTTTCTTTGTATCTATACGAGATGATTTTTTTTTTTTTTTTTGGCTCTGCTGTGCAGCGTGTGGGATCTCAGTTCCCCGATCAGGGATTGAACCCGGGTCATAGCAGTGAAAGCCCGGGATCCTAACCACTAGGCCACCAGGGGGCTCCCTACATTGGAATTTTTGACAAGTCAGGAGCCACGCTACCCTTCTCCTTGTCGAGCAGTATTTCTTAATCAGCGGAGACCACAGCATAGGCAAGGTGATGAAACAGATGTTTAGACAATCAGAGGACACTGCTTTCAACCACCTCTGATCTATGTACAGACATGAATTACAGTATTCATATCTTAATTGAAGCAGGTGTTCTAAAAGCCTGCATGAGGGATCCTCTTATTAACTCAATGGGATGAGTAACGGTACGGAGCACCCACATGTACCAGGTCTTGTCTGGTCCTTTGTGGGCACCATCCCGTCAAATCCTCGTGGCCGGACTCTCAGGGAAACTGAAGCAGAGAGGTTCAACAACTTGCCCAACGTCACACAGACAAGCGAGGGGCAGAGCTGGCACTCAAACCCAAGCAGGATGGTTCCAATCCCACTGCTTGAGCTGAAGGACCACTGACTGACCTGCCTCACCCCATCCGCCCCATCTCCGCTGGCTGAGACGAGGAAGCTGCTCTCTGGAGTTGGTGGGGGACTCTGCAGCCTAGGAAGGTTTAGTAACAAGGACAGATACTATCAAACTCACAGTATTAAGCTGAGGAACAAGTTTGTGGACATAATGAAAATGGGTATATGGGTTTCTAATAACATGCTTGAAATACTTAAGGCACGCATTCTCAACAGGGGCAAAAATGGTTTCCTGGAAAGTGGAAAAAAAAAAATCTTAGTTATTACAATGGTTTGTAGCCTTCCAAAGATCACCCTTACCTGACAAAATCATATTCCTTAGTATTTAATTTCTCTCACTAGGGAAAACTAAATCCAATTTAGATTTAAAATAAGTTAATCTATTAATTCAATTTTCCTGCTTAAGGAACAATAATGAAAAAACGCTGAGATACACTGGTCCAGGGGAATCTGGGTATTTTGAAGACTACTATTTTAGATTTACTGTTTTAATTTTAAATATTTAATTGATGCTAGACATAATTTTTATTTGAAATGTAGACAAATTTGATTTCCAATACTTTGAATGTTTAATCATATGTCTAAGGGAATTCTATTTACTCAACCTATATCATTTTGGCATACCATTATAAAAACACAATGGTATTTTATATAAAGGACGATTTTGCTGGCTAGATTTATAAGGCTGACAGTTTAGCGTTTTAGAAATCAGATATATTGAATTTGTAAATGAAGTTTAAAATGTGTGAGGATCCTTAACTAGGTTTGTAAATTGGGTTAAGGAAATTTGCTCTTTTAAAATTATAAATTAACTGAACACTTAAAAAGTTATTTTTTTACACAGAAATTACTAAGTTTATAAATTGACACATGATATTTATAAACTGTAATTGAAGATTTGGAAAACAGGTTCTTTAATCCGTAGATTTAATAAATTAAATAAAATTCAGGTAAAAGAAGCTAGAAGCATTCCATCTGAGTACAAAAGTCACCCTCAGATACTAAAGAACTGTATTATCATAAAGAAGTCTCCCAATTCCTCTATGCCATCACTTCCTGGTTTAATTTTCTTCAAATCACTTATTACCACCTTTTACTTTGCTTATTTACTGCTTTACTTGCTCTCTGTCTCTGCCTGCCAGGGCGGGGTCTCATTTGTCTTCTTCATCGCTGTATCCTAGCCCAGGGCTTCGTGTTTATTAGGTTTTTAATGGATTTCTGGATAAACAAGCGAGCTGGGTTGTCCAGCTCCTAAGCCCGTGTCTTCCCGCGGTCCGACAGGGCCTCCCAAGCTCTTACATGGAAACGTTGAACTCCTTCACTAGTGCAACACATATTTATACAAGAAGAAAAGGACAAGGTCTGAAATGAACTTACTGCATTAGCATTTCCTCCAACTTGCATGCATCGCAATTGAAACCAAGACCAGTTAGAATCCAACTCTGTAGATCTAAATGGAAAAAATATTCTTAAATGTTAATACTGTTCTTCCCCATAATCAAGCCACTAAACTTTTGAGGATAAGCTTTCCTCGCTCTTCAGGATCCTGAAGAATTCTAAGTTTGTGTTAACATTGACACATGCTTCCAGGGCACTAGGACTCCAGGGTGCACAATACTTGGTACAAGCCACTCCTGGCCCCTCTCACCCTTCCTAGAAGCCAAGGCTCCAAAAAATAGATGTACTGTTTGGATTTTTTTCAGGTTGGCTATCGGTTTGTCCAGTGTGACACCTAACAGGAGCCTGGAGGGTGCTCACAGTCTTACCATCAAGTAGAACATCACCACCACCAGGGAGCGGAGAAAACTCAGGTTTTAATGCTGCTTAAGTGAAAACTGCAAGTGCCTCCTATCCCCCACAGACACCTTATGCCCTACTTATCTATAATCTAAGATCAAATCAGAGCAAGAAAAAGGCAATAATTGTAGTCCCTAACAAAAATAATTCACCGTAAAGCAAGATATGACCGCGCGACAATATTAGAAATCTTTCTACTGAATCCACAGACATGAGCAAAAGGCAAGGCTAACTCATATTCAACACTAGCTTGACCCACACTAACTGGAAAGGAATGTGGACATTTTAAAATGGGTATAGGTTGAACACCCTTTACAAAATGGGCAAGGTAGAAAGAAAAGAAGCTTTAGATTCACCAAAAAATGTCTTCTATGCTGCCGTTCCTATTTCTCTTATTTCTCTGCCTATTGGTATCATCTAACTTTCGTAAATACTAGGATGTTATTTTGAAGCCAAAAGCTACCATAAGATTAATAAGAATACTAATACATATCATTATTACATATACATAGGACAAATCGTATTCACGGTAATATATAAAAAGTAAAAATTAAACCATACTTTATAAGAAACAGATTTCTTATAAAGACAAAAAAAATCTCTTTTTAGGGCTTCCCCGGTGGCGCAGTGGTTGAGAGTCCGCCTGCCGATGCAGGGGACATGGGTTCATGTCCCGGTCCGGGGGGGATCCCACGTGCCGCGGAGCGGCTGGGCCCGTGGGCCATGGCCGCTGAGCCTGCACGCCTGGAGCCTGTGCTCCGCAACGGGAGAGGCCACAGCAGTGAGAGGCCCGCATACCGCAAAAAAAAAAAAAAAAAAAGAAAGAAAGAAATCTGTTTTTAGAATTTGATTACTAAGCAAGGTGACTAAGTTATATATCTTGCTCTGAAATCCTTTCCCTGAAAGATCTTGCTTAGTCACCACATTTTCAGGTTGAGTTAGGTACCATCCCCACCCCCTTCGTCACAGGGTGGCAGCTAACAGCACAGTCTCTGGAGGCTGCCTGAAAAGTGCAAATCTCAACTCTGCCATTACAAGTTGTACGGCCTTGGAGAAATTACTTAACCTCTCTGCACCTTACTTTCCTCATCTGTAACGCAGGGATAATTACAGTATTGTCCATTTTGCTCTCATAGAAATTAAATAAGCTAATATCTGAAAGGCGCCTGGCTCATGGTAAACACCACAGGGCTAAAATTCTCATCACCACCATCATTATCATCATCGTGGTGAAGCTGTCACATTGTTATAAGCGGCAACCTCCAGAGGACAGGAGTGTCCCACATTTTTCTCTCAACTCCTAGCACAGGCACATAATAGGTACCTGAATGTGGGCTGACTTTAATTTTTTTTTTTTTTTTTTGCGGTGCGCGGTCCTCTCCCTGTTGTGGCCTCTCCCGTTGCGGAGCACAGGCTCTGGACGCGCAGGCTCAGCGGCCATGGCT